ATTCTACATAAAACAGTAATCAGCAATTATTCGTCCACTGCTGGACATAGGCCTCCTACTGCCATAGGAAACGGTCCTGAGCCATCTGCATCCACTGACTCACTGCAATGCATTTGAGTTCGACACACCATCTAGTGGGGGTTGCCCCCCTACTAAAACAGTAATATTTATGTTTAAATAACACCAAAATAAAGTATAGGTATCCTTTCAGATAAAAAGGAATTTTCCAAATCAATTTATAACTGATGGAATTATGAGATAACAACCATAAAACAACGGCAGCAGTATTTCCGAACCGATACGACATCATAACCTTCAAGAAAAGAGCATATTCCCTTTTAAAAGGCCGGCAGCACACCTGCAATGCCGTTAGTGTTGTGGCTGATCATGGGCGGCGGTAGTCACTTACGATCAGGAGAGTCGCATGCTAGTTTGTCCCCTGTGTTGTAGAAAAAAAATAAAATGAATTGAGTACTTCCTTCTTTTTGAAGTCGTTGGAAAATAAGGATAAATCACACATTCAACGTCTGGAAATCAGCATATACGCTCTAAATACCAAGACAAACTTACCTGTTTCGTTTACCGGTTCCGCAAGCTTTGTAAGTGGAGGTTGTTTACGGATTTAATCACTAATATAGTCTGGTTTTGACTATGCCATGAGTATCACACAATACTGGAAACCCCCATATGTATCTTTTTTGATAATGGAAAATTTACTAACTTTAATATATATATATATATATATATATATATATATATATATATATATATATATATATTTTATACAATTTAGAAATGCAAACAAGCTGACGGCCCACCTGATGGAAAGTGGTAACTGTCACCTATACACATGAGCAGTACTATGGACATAACAGAGTATACTGTTTCGCCCATGAGACCCTTCATGCGTTGCCATTCCTGAGGACTCAGGTGTTATTCCTCTGTATCCAGTAAATACGCGTTATATCCCACCCTTCAAACCGAAACACAGCCATGCAAACACAACTGTCTCACGGTTGAAACACGAATGGGACAGAGGTGCCCAAGCAATCGACTTGTGTAGCTACTAGTATACTATATTAGTAGCTGAAATATGAAGGCTGGTGACGTGACGCGAACTTTAGAGTTATCGATGCGCTTATTTCCGCGGTATTTCTCTTTTAGTCCACGAAATTACAAAATTAAAGGTGCCCTACAAAAACTGGGCGTGCAACCACCGTCACCTTATAAGGCCGTCCGTAGTTTTTGCTATCAAACAGCGCACTAGCCTGTTTCAGGAACAGGACTGACGTATACAAAGAAATATTTCTGAATATGCGTGCAATCTTATTGTTCTGTTAATAATTTAAGGCATTATAATCAATAATATTTACAAGAGGGAGACTTTGTACAAAAGTCGTTTGCTTGGGCACTTCTGTCTCATTCATGTTTCTACCGTGAAGCAGTTGTGTGTACATGGTTGTGTTTCGGTTTGAAGGCTGGGATATTGCAGTGAATTTACAGGGTACAGAGGAATAACACCTGAGTCCTCAGTAATGGTTACACATGGGAGGTATTAGGCGAAACAGTATATTCTGTTATGTCCATGGTACTGCTCATGTCTATAGGCGACGGTTAACATTTTCTATCAGGTGGGCCATCAGCTTGTTTGCCATTCTAAGTTGCATAAAAAATATAATCTACTTATAGGTATTAGAGACATATGTGTCTTATATTTGACCTATATCGGAAGACATAGTTGGAGTCAGATTACAGACTTAGACGCATTTGTCTTCTAAGCGTACCACTACGAAATAACTTATGTTACTAAAGCTACAACCAGAACTAACAATACTTAACACAGGAGTAAACTGTATTGATTCCAAAAGGAATTAACAAAATCAGTTCAGAAGTGATAGCAAAAAATGTTTAGATTTCTGACCACAAATTGACATCTATCGTGACAAAAGCAATTATATTGATTTAAAGACTAAACTGCTGAATTGATTTTGATAAAATTTCTACAGGACCAATCTGAGATTATATACTTTTAGATACAAAAAGAATTTTTCAATTCGGTTTATAAATGACGGAGTTATGAGATTTTAATATCCATGAGCGATAGTAACCACTTCCCGTCACGTGTAAAGTCGATTGCCTCCCTAGCAATAAGGTAAATTTTACTGTAAAAATAGATAGGTAATAACCAGAGTAGGTATCAAGGAAGCAAGTGATCCTATAGGTGTAACAAATAAGAATATATCTCGTTTACAATTTATCTCTGTTTACATTTTGTCAAAATACTCCGTTCCCACGCATGCGCGTCCGTCAAACGAGAAATGTTTATATTGGTGATAAGTTATCAAATGATTCTATTTCATAACGGGTTATTCGCGTCAGTTGTATTAAAAAAATCTCTTGCCTAAACGCTAGTTTAAAATGTAAATTCCTTAAAATTTTTGGTACATCATATGCCGTATCATCATATAATTCATGATAAGAACAAGACAAGGGGAAAAAGTTGATTGGAATATTAATCTTAACATCAGCTAACATCATTACCATGAAATGAAATTCCGAAATTTTGGACTCATTTTCGCGTTATTGTTTATACCAAAATCGGACCAATAAATGGAGTTTAACATTTCGTTCGTCATACATCCTATCATAAAAGTCCAAAGGAACAATATTTCAACATTTTTAATATTTCCAAACGGCATGTATTATGTAATTTTAACATTACATTTGTGTTTCGTTTGGCTCCGAAATTTCGGAAAACACTTCATGGTAGGCCCACAGATCCTTATAGGTTACAGGGCGAGCAGAAAAACTCGAACCGAGTCCTAAAGTTCTTTATCTCTACACCTCTTTACCTCCAAAAAGTCACTTTTTCATGCACTTACAAAAAGATTTGGGTTAAATACATAACAATTTGCTCTGTTGCATTGTAATTGCTAATTTGTATATGTATCTGGATTATTTTAACCAATTTATCAATTGTATCAACCGTTAAATGTCCACTAGTTTTTTTTTTATACAACTTAGAATGGCAAACAAGCTGACGGCCCACCTGATGGGAAGTGGTAACCATCGCCTATAGACATGAGCAGTACCATGAGCATAACAGAGTATACTGTTTCGTTCATGATACCCCCCATGCGTTGCCATTCCTGAGGACTCAGGTGTTACTCCTCTGTACCCTGTAAATTCATTAGTGAACATAGCCTCCTGCATGAGGAGAAGTTTTGCCAGTAGTAGGCACGCTTGGCAGGCGAACTAACAACCGCAGTTTGGCTTTTGTTGATGTTTTAAGAAGAACGCTACTGCTTATCCCACGACTATAAGCTCACTTAGCTTAGTACACGGGTACGAGTATTAGTCAATATTTTTTATTAATACCATTAACATTGTCGGAATTGTCCGCAATACGCTGTGTTATCATAAAAGCAATCGATTCAACAAGTCTTTTGACAACATTTCCAATGTTTACCTTTTCGTGAGTGTAAAGCAAATATCTAAAAAATACGTTAAAAATTCCCATCAATATTTATAAGTACTTCAATGATTAATAAAACCAATAGTGTTGCCAATATTTATTATTTATCGATCGAGATTTTTTTCTTTATATACGAACACCGTTTCCGTTCCACGCAATATCCATTTAGGTGGTCCCGATTCCGATTGATCGATACATCGGTTGCATCTCTGATGTCTACTCGTAATGAGACATCGAATAAAGTGGTCATTTAACGCACTTTCCTATCGATTATGGATTGTGAGAGTAATCTATTGACTGGTGAATAGAATGTTTACCTTATAAAGGCATCGTTACGTTCCGTTTTTCACTTTTGCCTTTCTTGATTATATATATTATTGTTGAAGAGTTTTTCTTAGCAATACTGTTTCTTTCTGTATATAAATCAATAAGTATATATATAAGTATATAAGTAGTGTTTTTCTCTGCAACAAGTAAGATTTGGGTAAATGAAGAAAAATAGCAAAATTGTGATCTAAAAAATTGTTAAAATCGAATCATCGCTTGAATCGCTCAGAATTTGCCAAATATTTTAACATACATAAAAAAAAAGAAATCTTTTTGTTATTACTGGGGTTTGCTTCTGAGTTGATCTCCATATTTTGCCACAAATGAAGTCTCTATTTTTTCAAAATATTTAATTCTACTTATGTTACTTTAAAAAATATTTAGTAGCTTTTTCAACCTGACACGAATTGTAGAACCATTATTGTTTGTTTAACTGATAATATTGTTAAATACGAGTGCAATGGCTGTTATCCAGAGATTTATGCTAATTTCTCGAGATAAAAATATCTGAGATTACAATCACGTCGCCGAGAGAACGGTCTGTGATCTGATCTTGAGATAGGAATTGATTTGTGTCACCTATCGATCACGGTGTTTCATGTTTTTCCATCGTCCGTGGCGTCGCTGCGGCAGTATTTCTGTAAACGACTCTGTGGTTGAAACTGGAAGTTTTTTTTTTTGTTTATTTTGATAATATTTTTGAAGAATTCAATTCAAATCAATTCCCAAGGAGGATTGACATTAGGCAGGTAATAAAACTAAACGCCAAAACCTTGTGTAATATTAATAAAATCATATTAGGATTGATTTCAAATAATTGGGATATTTCTGGGTTTGCCCAATGGTTGACTGGTAGAGAACACCGTCCGGTGTTAAATCCGCCAAATGTACATAGAATTCTACTGTGCATTAAAGTTTAAAAAATAAAAAAAATACTATATATAGCTGGAATATGATGATAATAATATTATTGTAGATACTATATTAATATTGTATAAGTAATTTAAATATTTTCCGTTACAAAAAATAAAATAAAAATTTGCAACTTTGCCACAATTATATTTTTATATTTAAGTATCACAGATTAAGCACGCATTAGTGTTACAGAGTAAATCATCACGACCATAAATTGTCCTCTATATAACATAATGTAAATAAATGTTAGCAAATATTTATATTCACACTTTTTCCTTTGCAGGTTTCGTGTCGTGTTCGCCGTCGCCGTGCAAAAATGGAGGGACCTGCTTATCTGCAACTAGAGGGGAATACTTCTGCAAGTAAGTAATATGTTAATACAGACCTTTAAGTTTCAACATGACTGTACATGTTTATCGTAGTAAATTAGTACTAACTAATAAATTTAAAAAAGCGTCACGCATTTATATATGATTATTAGGGTAAATTATTTTCATTTTGTTTACTTTGTATCATGTATTCTCTCTCTCTCTCTAGCTTTTTTGAAGTCGATGAATAAAACTACAAAAATAACCACGAAATTGTACATAAATTTATTCGTAATTGGATTGATATAATAAAAATTGAGTTAACTACTCATATTAAATTCAGTATTTCACAAAATGAATTTAATATACATTTACACATAAATTATATGTATTTATTACTATATATTATTATTTATTCAAAATTATTTTTAATATCGGAACGATATCGATTGATATTGATATCTAAGCGAAAGAAGTGTGCGCTTGCGCACATGGCAGGAACCGTTACTTTTAAATTAATATACCGCGTACTCACAGGGTCATATCGCCCTTAGTGTAGGGTTGTCAGATAAACATATTTTTATTTATGTAATAACCATGTTTTTTTAAATAGTATCATTTATTTTTAGTGTTTATTTGGGAGTTTGCTTTTATTAGTGTAGCAGTTATTTAAGTTATATTTATGAATCGAGATAATCCTACCAATATAATAAATGTATAACTTTAAAAAAAAATTAAGTATGGCTGAATGAATTTGAATGAAATATTGTGATATATAGATAAACCATAATCTCGATTTATATATAGAACATATTGTAAATTAATGCAAGCAATACCAAAGGATAATCAATCACATTAGGGCCGATTCTGAAACGCCATTTCTCTTTCTCTTAATATAATATTTTAATTCGATTATTTTGCGAAGTTACTGTTTTACAGACATAATAAACAAAAATTATAGTACTTTTGATTCAAACCCATTTTTTTATGCAACTTAGAATGGCAAACGGCCAATATGATAGAAAGTGGTAGCTGTCGCCTATAGACATGATTATAACAGAACCATGGAACTAACAGAGTATACTGTTTTATTCATGATACCCCCCATGTGTTGCCATTCCTGAGGACTGAGGTGTTTTTTTTTTATGGGTGAAAATGGAATGGTAACCCCGCCTGCGCTAACGGGATACGCTAGCGGAGCACCAGTGAAGGGTGATTGATGAGAATGAAAACAGGCCAGTTAGCCCATCATGATAAATTCATCAGGAATTAACCATGATAGTTTCCAGAGGGAACCGCGAGGAGGTCGACCTGGTTGGGTATATTGCTAGCAATGGGATTTTTAGTCTCCATTACTAACAATCCCTTTTCCCCCTAAGGACTGAGGTGTTAGCTCTTGTTAAGTTGTATATCTCTGAACTCTGCAAATTCATTTAGGTAGATAAATACTCTTTAATGTTTCCTTTAAAAGATTACAACAGTAAACTTATTATAGATACAAATAATTACAAGAAATAATCACAGCTATTAGAAATATAGTTCATATTGGTCCTTATAATAAAGATTTTAGAAAATTTTGATTCAGAGGTAAATTTACAGAAATGGCGCTTCAGAATAAACGCCGTTATTCCTAAAGTATTAATTATACTTTATTACTGTACTAGAATAAAAGAAAAAAAAACATATTTAGTAATAAATATAAACAGACACAGACACTAAAAAGCCTGTCAAAAAAGAAATTTTCGGAATACGTTTTTTGCCAACCCTCGCATAGTAACCGTATCAAATCTATAGGCGCGTTGCAGGGTCGCATTGGACAGATGGCCAAACCCTACCGTTATGAACTCAAGTGGGGTACTAATTGCGTTTGGCTTCTAAAAAAGGGAACAGTATTGTAAGATTCCAATCCAAAATATTCATTTATTCGAATCGGTATATCATGCAATATTTTTTTTTCATATTTTTTATTAAATAAAGGATAGTGATGACATTAAACATTATTTTTGTTATTATTAACTATGGCAAAAATAAAGTCGTTGCCTTTTATAAAAAACAAACAAGAAAACTAGCTATCACTTGCGACTTTTTCTATGTTACCGGGATATATCGGGATAAAAAGTAGCTTATATCCATCTTCATCTCAAATAGTATGTACATACCCAATCTTACAGTGATTGCTTAAGATGCTGTAAGGTAACAAACAAACAAACTCACTTGCACATTTATAATATTAGTAAAAATTTTAATGTAATATCTACCGGTTTAACTTATGTGCAATTAGATCCAGTTAGTTCGACTAGTTACGGGATCATTTCGCGTGACAGCCGCTCATGATTAAGGATCACGAATTGGTCCCGAAACTAGATGATATATACTGTGTACTTACGAAACTTTTAACAATAAAATTAATAAGGATTATTGATAATCACATAAAATATTTTTATTTATATCTCATAGTATAATATATATCATATCATATATAATGTATACCAGAGGGAGACTGTACAAAAGTCGATTGCTTGGGTACCTCTATCCCATTCGTGTTTCAACCGTGAAGCAGTTGTCATGTTATCATAGTATAATATATAAACATATATAATATAATATCATATATTATTTTGTCCATGAAAAGTACTGCTCATGTCTATAAAAGGCGACGGTGAATAAAAGCACTTTCCATCAGGTGAGATAGATAGATAATTTATTTGCATCACTTTCAAATGCAAAGTGAAAAAAGTTGTAATAAAAAAAAAAAATTACACAATTTTCATTGGCATCTTTTAATTTTATTTCATCCGATCCTATTTTATGTTGAACTGGCAAAAATTTTGAATTACATTGCGTTATGACTTAGGAGGGTTATTAATTACAAATGTTGGTCCACTCCGTTTAATATATTTTTATTTCTCGTATCAAATACGCGGTGTAATTATTCAAAGCTATTGAACTGGTTTTGTTTAATGGTACTGATGAATGTTTTTTAAATTGTTTCTTTGGTACCTCAACCTTGGAATCGATCGTTGGTACTTTTTGAAGCTATTTCTAATCGGAGTTGATTCGAAGATTCTAAAGTTGTCTAAATTTTATTGATACATCTTTACCAATTTAGAAAGAGTTTAGATAGGTCTTTTTACAATTGATAAGAATTACATAAATTTTTTTATGGTCCTATAATAATTGTTACATACATATACATACATAAATATAAATTTTTGTCGATTTTGTATATAAAATTTATCCTAAATATATTCTTGTAATAATAAAAATTAGGAACAATGTAAGCAGTTTTTTTTAATGGGCGATAATGAAATGGTGAGGAATGATAGGTAAGAATGAAAGCAGATCAGTTTTGCCCATCGTAATTAATTCCACTAGAATTAATCACGATGATTTCCAGAGGGAACCGCGTGGAGGTCGACCTGATAGGGTATATTGCTAGCAATAGGGATGTTAAACCCCATTACTAACAATCCCTTTCACCCTAGCAACCGCAGTTAGGCTTTGGTAATGTTTTAATTGAGACGCTGCTATACCTCGACTTAAATTAAATTCCTTTAGTGGCCTCTTACGACATCCACGGGACAAAAAGGGGTAGCCCATTCTATGCCAAAACCACACGGTTGTTTATCGTAATAAAAAATAATATAATTGGAATTAAAAGACATATAGATACTTCCAAGAGTACGTTTACCATTCGAATGCCATAGAAGAAGACAAGCATACGCTTCGGCGCCTTTGTTTCCCTCATTTGTGGCGCTCATTAAAATCGCTCGCCCCATATGGTCTCGAGGCGAGAATACGTCTGTAGCGGGACGCGGAATTGTGTGTATATTTACAATGTCTAAGTATGGCTTTCTGTGTAACGTTGACGTGAGCTAATGACGGAAGTTGATAAGAGAGATTTTCGAAATACGCTGTACGTCTTCCCGGCTTCTTTGCTTTTGTAAATTAAGAATGTTAATGAAATGCGAAGAAATGAAATGTAAAGAATTTCGAAGAAAGTTCTGTCAGCAATATATCTAGATCTTTTTACAACGCTTTTTTTCAACTTTACATATATAAAAAAAAAAAAAAACTCTTGTACGCACTCTTTCATAATCGCAGAAGAAAAAAATTATTCTCACACATCGAACTAATCACTTTATTGTAATTTTTAATAACTTACACATGTAGGTACAAATAAAAAAAAATTGAAGAGAGCGAAAAAGTGTTACAACAACATAAATACAAAAATTGCTATTTTCAGTGTTGCTATTAAGATAAATATATAAAATACTAAACAATCATTTTATTTGTTACCTTAATGTTTGATAAATACTCAAACAACAGTAAAGATTTTTTTATTAATATTGTATTTTCAAACATTCTTACATCCTGATGGGAGATTGACTAATACACATATAATCCATGTATCAATTTCTGGGACTTCATTCTTTATGTATATTATCTAAGTAATGACATAACAAATATTTCTTTTAAATACGTGTACATCTATAAGTACTTATATTAGATATTTTTAGAGTATTCTGTAATACAGTTTAGATTTGAGATTTTTCTATGTACCTGCAATGAAGTTGGTAATCACACATAGTTCGCCTGATGGTAAACGCTTAACATTAAAAGCATGTTATACTGATTTAAAAAATAACAAATCCCACTTGTCACAACCTATAACACGTCATTGATTAACAATTTATGCACTTCCATAGATGCGCATACGCAGATAGCTATAGATGTTAGATACCAATTGTCCGGTATCGTCTAGACGGTGTCGGTGAACTATGGCTAATGGAGGTGGGCGGACGGCCCAGATACCGCTGATGTCATGCTCTCGCGCATCCTATGAACCCGTCGATCAACAATACTAACTGGATATACATCTAAAGCAACGAAATTGAGAAAATAACGCCCCATTTACAGATTGAGCTCTTATTTTTAAGTTAATTTCAATATGAGGATGGTATTTCTGTGTCTATAGTAAGCTTTTACATATTTAATTTTAAATAAATTTTAATAGTTGTTTTTGATATCAATAAGTATTAAAGATTGAAGAT